CAGGAGCTTGTGCAGGGGCATGCCTGAACCGGTAGTAAAAAACTTGGCAACCCACCACTCTCTTGGAGGCTTAGATTAAGGACGACACTCTCCTTGAGCTTCTGCTAGTCCTTTGAACCTTAGCAGACAGGCGCAGGAACTGCTGAATTGAGAGACAGCCAGGAGAAGGATAAACACAGGGATGGAGCACATATTCTGGAGAGCCGATTGTCTCGGGTTTAAATCATGGTAAAGCAACCTTAATTGCAGTTTCTCTGCCGGGGACCCTGAAATGTGTTACCCGCCACAGCTGGCTAGGCTGCTTCAGGCTGCATCACCCAAATTGTGGGACTTGAGTTCAGTTAGCCACATATCAGGCGTAGCCGTAGCTGAATGGAGTTGGGGTGGGGGTGGGGGGGAGAGCCAGGCATTCACTTCCTGGTACCCTCAAGGAAGTTTGCTGCGTTGACCTTGGAGCAGCTTTTGGGTTGAACCAAAGGATGCGGCAGTCCAGCTGAAAGCGGGATTTTCTGAGGTGAGCTGGAGGTGTCGTCATTGAGTGGTACAGGCCAAAGCTGATGAAGGAGCACAGGGAACAAGTAGAAGAGACTGGATTCTCTGTTTACACGGAGGGAGCAGAGTCCCAGCAGTTGGGAAATCCTGGGAGGCAACCAGGCGACAGGGCAGGCAAAGATTGCAATAGGTAGCGTAATGGTATCACCAAAGTAGACAGAAGTAGGATTCCTGGAGGAAAGGAGGGGAGAGGAAGAGAGGAGAGGAGGGAAGAAGAGGAGAGAGGAGGAGAGAAGAGGAGGGAAGGAGAGAGGAGAGAGAGGAGGGAAGGAGAGGAGAAAAAAGGGGAGGAGTGGGAAGAAGGGAAGGAAAGGAGAGAGGAGAGGAGGGAAGGAGAGGAAAAAGAAGAGGAGAGAAGGGAAGGAATGGAGAGGAGGGAAGGAGAGAGGAGAAGGAGGGGGGAAGGAGAGGAGAAAGAAGGAGAGGAGTGGGAAGAAGGGAAGGAGAGAGGAGAGGAGGGAGGGGAGAGGAGGGAAGGAGAGAAGAAAGAAAAGGGGAGAAGGGAAGGAAAGGAGAGGAGGGAAGGAGAGAGGAGAGGGAGGAGGGAAGGAAAGGAGAAAGAAGGGGAGGAGTGGGGAGAAGGAAAGGAGAGAGGAGAGGAGGGAGAGGAGGAAGGAAAGGAGAAGAGGGGGCAGAGGGGAGAGAGGAAAGTGGGGGAAGGAGGAGAGGAAGGGAGGGGGAGGGAAGAGAGGGAAGCAATGGGGAGGGATTGATATTGGGTAAGCCTGAAAGAAAATTTATATGCATTTGGAGTATATTTTTTATTCCTTACTTCACCCTAATTTTATTTTTCAATAATTTCCCACCAAAAATTTGCCTGTGTAATTTTGAGAGGGTGGGTACAAGGACTTCAGATTTGCCCAGGTCTCAGCCCGAGCAGGATTTGAGTCTTGAAAAAGCTTCTGCCAATTGGACTCAGGACGAGGCAGATGGGCTCCATGCTGCCCTCCCATCCCCCGAGCCAATTCTGGGTGATAACAAGGACAGACCATCTTTCCTGGAATTGGATGGAAGCTGAACCAAGAGAAACCCAACCTAGAACTAAGGAAAAGTTTCCCGACAGTGGGAACCATTAACCAGTGGAACTACCTGCGACCAGAAGCTATGGGTGCTTCATCACTGGAGGAGGTTTTAAAGAAGTGACTGGGCGGCCAGTTGTCCGGAGTGGTGTAGGGTCCTGTCCTGACATTATGGAAGGACAAATCTTAGGGTTCCACCACAAAACTGCGGTAGACAAAAGCGCGCTCGACGAAAGCGCGTACGTGACGTCATCACAGCGCGACGAAAACATCGCACTGTGAGCGGTAAATGTAAAAATAAAGCGAAAACCTTACCCTAACCCCCCCCAAACCTAACCCTAAACCTAACCCTAAA